GTTCATATAGTTTGTTACCATCTTTGGGTCAGGAGTAGAAAAGAGATGGAAAGGAGGAGACATACGACAGTATTTGTTTGCACATTTAAGTGTTTTACATTTTCAGTGTTGTCAGCGAATTGGATTCCAAATCAGTGACTAGAACTTAACTAATGCTGTGGTGGCCGATATGAATTGGTCTTTGAATACTGCTTTTGAAGTGAAACACCGCAACTCCTCTAAGAAACACCCCGCGACTCGCTGCTAATCACATGTAAACAAAATGTCACACCAAAACTTCACTGAATGAATGGATTTAAAAAGCCATAATCATGTGATTTGAAATTGCGAGGGACATTTGTGGCGTTTAATTCTTCGAAAGTAGAGAGAAGTACATGAGTATTTGTTCTATTAATGTTGCAGTGTAAATAAGGATGTTCGTGTTCCTTTTCACCACTTTATAAATTGATAAAACTCATTAACTCATTACACTTGTTTGGTACTTTACGTTGAAATCCACAAGCAGTTTCCTGAAGGACACAGTGACCTCAAAACGCTAAGGGGAAGCAGCAAAACCTGCCTTTGCCTCTGGTGTATAATGTCACAATGTTTATTTTACGGCTGCCTATTCACATGTCAGGAATTTGGAGAAGGTGGGTTGGGCTGCGCCAGCCCCCCTTCCTCCGCAACCTAATGGCATATCTTCTCAGGAGAGGTTGTGCTAACGGAGTAAGTAATGTTTGTGTGAGGACGATGACAGTGACTAAACCAATGTATACCTCCTTAGACACTCTCAACCACTCTACTGACCTGCGGTACTCATTACTGACATGTAACCTGCACATCCAACAGTCAGGATTTAACGAGCATGTAGCATGTCGCAACCGCCGGTCCTGAGTTGCTCGCTTCCATAAAATCTCGTAAACAGCTAATATGAATATGAGACTGGGCATTCAATGGGATCGGTGTGTGCAAGTATTCTTAGGGGTTTGGCCTAATGAAAAGTTAAATATGACACGAAGTGAGGTACATCGTCGCACTAGGTTCATTTTAAGGGTACTCAGCTAAAGAGTACCATCTTCCCTTGCAACTCAAAATTTGATATGAGCTTATTCGCTTGCAAACACCGAGGCCCTAGATGACTTCGACGTCCTCTGAGACGTCAAGTTAAAATGGCAAACTAAGGAATATTAAGTCCTCTTATAACAAAACCTAATTGATTAGCAAAATAAGAAACACAAATCGGATTTTAAAATAAATGTAAAAGGGCGAACTTGAAGCCTACCCGAGTTGGTGGAGTTCCACGAATATTTGGGGTGCGTGGAAGTATGGATCTGAAACACGATTGTGCCTCAATAGGACATGCCTCACTAGTAGTGTCCACAGTCCTAAGCTCTGTCTCTTGGTTGTCCTCTGCCTCCGACTCCACCTCAAAGTACCCATCCCATGGAGTCGTTTTCTCGGGAGAGATAAGAAGCACTCGACGGCGTTTGCACTCAGATCCAGGTTGCTTCAGAATACTCTTGGGCGTCTTCTGGGGTGTCTTCAACAAAACCTACACGCACGAGGTGGTTACCACTCGACTTTTACTCAACCTCCAACGTACCACGTGATTGAATTTCTCGGAGAGGATTGGTGAGCGAGGCGTCTTTTGAGCTTCAGCTTCGATGGGCCTGGGAATTTGAGTGGAGCAGGGAGGAGAGTTGTTTAAAATGGAGTGTTTGAAATCCGCGAATTCGGCCTCAATGTAGCGAAGTCTTTCGATCTCCGCGTCTTTTGAGCTTAAAACTGCAGTCAACTTTGCATTTTCGTTGCTAAGAGTAGTCAACTCTGTGCTTAAATTTCCTGCTTTTTCCTCCATCTCCGACAACAGAACTTCCTAAGCGAAGATAAAAGTGATAAAATCATGAAAGTGGTTCA